AAACTATTAAACCACCGCTCAGTCTTCTTCTCTGTGTGTGACTGATTCTCTGAAGTGTGTTTGCATAAAATAAAATAAAAATATGGGGAAAAATACAACTTTCTATAGGCACATTTGCTAATTTAACACAGACGGTGGATAAAAATAGATCACAGCGTGGAAAACCGGACGAAGACGAAACATTTTGTTATATTAATTGTAAGTCAGTTAGACGTGTTAATAAAATCTAATGTTAGAAAAACAATATAAACAAACACTCATTATATCTGTCTTTTAACCCTTTGATGCATAATGGTCACTACATTGGACAGGTACTCAAAATTGTTATTTATTTGTTTTTGATATTAAGCACAGCTGTTGAAGACTTTATTGCATTTGAGCCCCTCCATTTGGACTTCAGTAAGCCAAGCCAACATATTTCATGCTCAGAATGCACGCTGCCCACTGAAGCGGACATGTAATAAATTATTTGTAAATTATAAAATTTTACAAAAAATATTTGTTGAAATTTGTTTCATTCACACCTAAAGACGAATGAAAAAAATTGTTAAAAAAAATCATGATTGAAGATTTCATAATTCATGCATCAAAGGGTTAAACATTTTACATCAAATTCTACAAAACCCAAACCAAAATCTATTAAATTTGACTTTAATCATAAATTCATAAGTTAAAATCTGAGTTTAAAGACAGTAAACCTTGCAAACATGTGTGTTAAAACAACCATCCTTGAATAAGACTTTTACTGCACATTAGGGACTGATTAGCTCTGCTGAGTGCTCTCATGGTCCTCCACGACTCCTGCTGAGTTGATAATGACCGACTTGTGGCCCTTTTACAGAAACCTTGCCACACTGACTATGGCACCAACATTTATTTTGCCTGGAGCAAGCCTTGGCAACAGATAAAAATAAAATAGTGAACTCTCTCACACTGAAATGTACACCAGTGCTCAAGAGGAGTAGAAAAGTGAAATGTTAGCATAACAGGACAATCAGGGGCAGGTAGAGGGGAACATGAGAACAGAAAACGGCCAAATCAAGATCAATATCTGTAGTGGAAAGCACAGAAAATAATAAAGGAAACTCAGAGGGGAGTTTGGTTTGCTACACCCTAAAACAGATGTGTAGGTTGATCTGTTTTAGTTTTCATTTCATTTTATTTAAGCTAACATGGAAAAAGAAAACTGTGACACACCCTTGATGTTCCATAACAAGGGAGAGGCAGATGACCGGGTTGCTCTAAACTTCTCTTGTTTTCTACTGTGCTTTACTCTTTTTTGGGTTTTTCATAAACCACAAACTTGTCTTTTTACCCTTCGTGGCTCGCTGACTGCCCACCACCAAGTAAACCTATCTGTCTCTGGTAACTCTACAAATGGTCCTACTCTGGCAGATTACAGAAGTGAGATTTACTGCTATTTTTAGCATGACTTTCACCAACAACATGGTTAAAAACATCTTTAATAAGACAAACTGGACTAAGATATCAAGTTACAAGCTACTTTCTGTCGCACGAAATATTCGCTTACCACAGCAGTAAACTGATTTCACTTCCTAGACTTCCTATTTTATACACAATAGCATGAGCAGGCAGGACAATAGTCCCCAAACACATCTGAAATCTCAACTAAAGATAGAAAAGAAAACTAAAGGAAAACAAACTATGAGAAAGCACTGATTTCTGGTTAACTACAACCAAAAATAAGATGTTAAAATCATTACCTCTTTTGCTTATAACATAAAAACTGTTTACCAAATTGCCAAAATGGCACTAATAGCTGTTAGTTTATGTAAGAAAAACCAAACTACACATATAAACAGAATGCAAAACAGGATGCACACTTTTACATAGAGCTGCCACCAAACTGAAAGGCATGTACACAGAACAGAAGCAGACAGGGCTAAAGTCTAAATGGACGTTTTTGCTGCTTCCTCTTTGAGAGGGCAGCAAACGTCCTGTGACACCGACAGTTTTTAGAAACACAACCAACAAAAGAAAAAAATGTGGAAAAATGGGAACAACCTGGATTGTAACATGTTATTATTACTCAAACCTAAAAAAAATATGAAGGCATCAAACCAACCTAACTTATCTTCAAAGAAGTTCTCCAACAGTTCAGTAATACTGTAGCTTTGAAACTAATATATGTAATTAACAGTTTTTCATCTTCAAGGTTTGACTTAATTCATAAAAGTGTGACAAAAACGGACTCAAAAACAATCACATAAGTTTGTAGTTTGCACAGATAACATTGCTCGAATTAGGGCTGCACAATATATCGTTATCGCGATATCAGCATGCACAATATGCATATCGCAAAGAACAGATACATATCACAATAAATGGTCAGCTCAAATGTTTGCTACACATAATGCATTCTGTCAATCAAAACAGAAGTATCATGTTTTTTTAACAAATCAAATAGAGCTCTTCGTCCATTTGGCCAAATGGGTGGGTTCTCATAGGTTAGATGCCCGCCCCAGAGGTGGACGACACTTAATTTTGATGGTTAGCAAACACCTGAGGTAGGTTTGTCCTGCTCTTTTTGCTGATTCTGCTTTTCCCGGGATCCACTGATCACCTTTTCTTGTTCATTTTCTTTTACCCTTTCCTCACATCTTTTGCTTTTCTCATTTTTTGCAATTTTTTTAATTTCTTTGTTTTTGATTATTTTTGTTCCTGAGTTAAGTTTTTATTTATTGCAAGTGATATCGTCATTGCAATATTAATCACTGGTTTCGAATATTGCAGGTTTTCCTAATATCGTGCAGCCCTAGCTCGAATTATTATTTGATTCACTGATAAAGTCACTTCCAGAATCAAAACATAATAGGGTTGTGCAATGGCAAGAATTTGGTGATGTGATATAAATCACAATACAGGGTAGAAGATGCGATATACTGGAATACTAAAAGCCAGACAATATTTGTAAGTTTTAAAACTTAATTTAATTGGAAAACTAGGCCAGACGGTTCCTAAACACATCCAGTGACATCATGAGATTTTGCTCTGTCAGAAGGAAGGTGGTAAAACTGCTGCCACACAGCAGTCGAAGTTTGAATTGCACCACGCAAAAGAAAATATCTGCATCTAACCACTTCTTTCCAACTAATGTGAAAGCGATTGCATAACGTAATAGCTGCATTTTACCCACAATCCTGGTTGGAAATGGGATCAAAAGCGTTCCACACAGATGATCTATGAGGTCACAATATCACAGGAGTATTACAACCCCACGCGTGACTACAGAAGTCCATACATAATAATAAGCAAGGAGAAAGAGAGCTGCATGTATAAAAACATGTATGTGGTTTATTTTCTATTCTGTTTACATCAGCTATGGGGTCTCTAACAGGAAAGGACGTACTTTTACCTGCATGTGACTTTTATTTTGAAAGTTTTCAGATGTTTTACACTGCTTTTGTGTTTGACTTCCTGTCTTGCGCGATCTAAACTGCAGAGTTTGACGTGTTTTGGAAGCATATTGTGAAACGCAATGATAGTGTCCCCTCGCTTCTTGGGTGCGTCCAAAAGTTACACTTTGCTGCCGGTGGAAAGGAACTCATCCACTATAACCGCGGCTAATTGCAGCTATGCTTTCACACACAGTGGAAAGAAGGGGTGAATTCTCACAACAAAAATGACTAGTGGTGCACCAATATGAAATTTTGAGCCGATACCGCTATTCAATATTAATATAACTGTAATGGCCAATAACCGATATTTGCTGATAACAATACACTGACATTAATGCTTCTAAAATCAACAGATTTTGTATAAAATGAAAATTATTAAAGCTGAATTTACATTATTATGTACACACACCACACACATTTATGCTTCTGAGATGATTACAATCACTGTCACATGACTAAACAAATACACATCACCCCTCTCACCCTCTGAAACAGATAAACAAATGGAAACAAGATGGAAAAAATATTGGTTGTTAATATTGGCCCAGTTTTATTTATCGGACCGATATGTTAAAAAAGATTAACATCTGCCAGTACTGATATTGATGCTGATATATTGTGCATCCCTAAAAATGATACATGGCTTTTAAATATCAACTCAGTATCATAATGATAAATATCGTGATTTTTCAATGTATCAATATTTTCTTACATCCCTTACATGTAAATTAGCTTTAACTTTCTAAAGAGGTAGGTTGTGTTTGTTTTTCGAAAAGTTTTACATCTGATGTGATGATGACTGCAAAAATCAAAGTGAACACAAAGAGAGCGGATGTATGTAGGCCAGATACATCTGCCCCATGAAAACAAAGCCACCAAAGAAGGGGTGGGGGGTCCGACATCGGGAAACACTCTGCAGATGTATTATAAACTGTAGGTATTAAATTAACCCCTTAAACACCGTACACATTCAGACTCAAATAAGGCACCAGAGCTAGTCGGTTTCCACAAGGATAAACAAAGCGCTCAGTGTGAACGACCTTCATTGACGTGCATCTTGTCTCGGTACCCAGAAAAGCTGCAGGATGCGGTCAGTAGAGAGAAAAGGGTAGGTCAGAAGTATGGGCTAGCACCGAACTGAATAAAAGCGGTGAGAGGGAACAAACGTGTCCAGTATTTTAACAGAGGAAACGAAGCGAGCTTGAGCCGCTTTTACAAAGGTGGAGCAGGCATGTTCATGCTGCAGCTCACAATAGCAGCCATCCAGTTAGCCAACAGTCAGACCAGCATGTTTAGCTGTTAACACACATCAGGATATAACATAGTAGTGTCCATCCGTTTGCATTAAGATTTATTAATGAAAGTAAGCTGCTCTAAAATATGTCACCGCAAAAAAATTCAAAATTCAGCTCCAATGACATCAAGGGCTGTGCAGCTGCAAAGCTGAAAAACGACTCATTTTTTTAAATATATATTGTTTAGCCGAAAACTTCACTCGAGCAACGGTCGACAACTAAGCTTAACCACTTTTGAGCGACACCCTCCTGTCTTTAAACAAACTGAAGCCAACTCACATCTTACCCCTTTTCTTTATGTTGTTTTTGCGATGAGAAGCTGCTGAAGGTGTGTGTAGAGCCCAGCCCTGCCTTCTATGCGCTGGCCTTCTCTTCCTCCGTTGCTCCGGCAATAAGCTACTCCCTGAAAAATAACGGAACACCGCGAGAGACCTATTGCAGCTTCCGGTTAAAATTTTCAAATTAAAACTCCGATGATGCAATTTGTGGAGCCTTGAATTGAAGGAACGTGTAAAAATGTGTTGTGTATGACTCTTGTGAAAAACTTTACATTTTATTAATTAGACAGAGCAGTTTGTTTGCAGTACACATGTCTTAAAATGATCATTTATAGTTTACAGTACTTGAAACACAGAAAGACGTAAAGGCCAAGGATTTGATTTATTACACTTTAGTTGTAACCCCCCTATAGACTTATGCGATCAATTCATATCAAACCACTTCTGCCCTACCAGAGTGTGAGATATATCGTGCTTTCATCAAGAAACTACCATATCCAGTCCTATGCCCTCTGGTGGAGAATCTTCAAGTGGCAATGACAATTTCAAATGCGTTTTATATATGTATTAGGCCTATTTTTTGTTTTTGCTCAAACATTTTTCTGTCTTTATCTCCAATGGGACCACTGCAATTTTATTATGTTCTAGTAGCATAATGACATTTAAAATCCTATGCCTCAGGTTAACTAGTCCAGTTTTAAGCAGACGATTTTAAAAGAATGATTGATTTCATCAGTAATCACTCTCAGATATCAACTTTATTTCCACCCCCACCCTCAGTCTGCATGAACTCAACACCAACAAAAGCTGATTCACATTCAGCATTTAAATTGTTTTTGCTTCTGGACCCATAATTTTCAAGTTTTTTGAAAATGTGTTGCCTATGTTTCAATATGAATGGGAATCATCCAGATGTGGTATCTGAAGTTAAGCGTTATACAAGTAAATGCAAATGAGAGACACTTAAATCAAAACAAAATTATTAGAATCTTTTGGTATTATGATATACATGTGCAAAAAATTAATTGTTAAAAATAAAACAGTGACTAGTATCTGCATATGATTGGGGAAATTTTGCTTGTAAAGTGCATGTTTTGTAATTCAGGCTTTTTGGTCATTTAAGCACAAGATTTAGTTTTTGTACATCTTTATGCAATGTCAATTTAAGCAGGAACTGGTTAGATACGCTATTATTAGTTAAAGTAGAATCACAAAAATTGATATTTGTATTAAAACTATTTGAAATGTTTTTATTTGATGTCAAGTTTAGTATTTCTTCTCAAGTGTGAAAATATTTTTAAAATGACTGTCACCTTTAAAACACAGTAGAGTAGCCTAATCAACAGCAGATGCAATAACTTTCTAAAGTAAAAAAAAAACTGATGGGAAAAAAATCTGAACTGAAGAGCTGAATGGAAAACAACCTTAATAGATGGTAAAATAGCTGACATCACTGACCACAACATGGGTAAATCATGGCATTACGTTGTGAATTTATCCCTTTGAATTTTCATCGTATGTTATTTTATTTTGAAACTTAGAATAGTAATTTCCCGGGTTTAAAGGGTTTCTCAGGCAAACTTGACACAATCCATCCTCAGCAGCGCTTGAGTCTACGCTCCACCGTGGATGCTTCCAACTCAGAAGCAATGTCCGCCAGAACCGGGTGGGCGGGTTTCCTGGACTCACCGGTCACGCTCAGAGGTCTTTTGTTGCTGCAGCACCACCTGGGATGCAGCACAGCAGGCAAATACGAGGCTTGGTCGCATTAATATGAAAGAAGGCA